ACTTCAGTGAAAAATTTTACTGCAACAAGAGAAGATTTTGCACAGGGCCAAGGTTTCCCACACAGGAACCTCAGAGACAGGATTTGTTTATCTTCTTTTTAATGCTATTGAGAATGTCACCTAGAGTGGGACACACAGACTGTCCTCTTCATTATGTTTATAATGTTACATTTATAACATAGAGGAAAGGTCACGTGAGCACTGGGAGTGGGATTTCTAAAACTTTTGCACCTATAAAAACAATGAAGTGGAAAATTTGCATTTCTAGTGTCTTGCTTGAGCCACAGAGAAGTCATTATTCGCTAGTGAATGAAAAGAAGAAAAAATGCTCATTTCTTGTGATTTATCCCAGTGACAGGGTTAATGACACAGGTAGACATGCCCATTGACTCATTAAATTGAATTGCAAGACACAGCTAGAAGTTAATTTCCTTTGGTATGTACTTAGGCACCTTGTAATGACAGTATTTGTGTCACTGGAATTCAGTCCCAACCTAAAACTGCACTGATTTTTCAGTTCAAATCTGTGGAGGCATTTTCATGCAACTGTTTCTCTTCCAGAGCTCTGCAGCTGTAAGAGCTCACATCTTTTGTAGGTCAGGCACCGCGACGGACGTGAAACGTGTACATGACTTGGTTGCAGTGGTACACTCACTGCAGGTGCTTTGCTACACAAATATGTACACGTGTAGAATATTAATGACAACTTTCATTCACAGGCAGCATATGAATTATCAATGAATCCAGTTTCTGTGTTTAGCAGGAAGTGTGTGGCAAGGGCTGATGGAACGCTTGGAATCATAATCTTGGCTGTAGTAGCTATTGCTGTGTGTGCCACCCCAGATGGCAAAAACTCCCCTGAAGAAGACTGGCTCACACTGTAGCAGAGCTGTGCAAGCTGCAAACACTACCTTTAAGAACATTCTGAGGGGAATAGTGAAGTTGATATCAGAAGGAGCTGTGAGATGTGGATCTGCCTGTCCCCACTGAGGCGCACGGTCTGTGTTTGCTATTATCAAGGTACATGGTGGCAGTCAAGGAAATGATCAAGAAAAATGGGCTCTGAGACTCCTCATGGTTCAGCCATGCTGGCAGCTGGGACTTCTTTCCCATTCTAATATCAAGTAATGATATTATAAGGAAGCCCAGCTGTAGAAGGAGAATAAAATACCAGTGTCCTAAAAATCTCTGGAAAATTCATTAATCCCTGCAAATCAGATTTCGGTAGATTTTAATTATCCCTTGAATACACACTCTAAAATACTTGAAATATTAGAATTTTGAGGCTGTCAAAGCAGTTTTGCCTGCTTTACAAGTAGATGGAAGGAAAGCCAAGGTAAGTTGGGAAACCATTTGAAAGTCTTCTCCTAAATTTCAGTCACCTGTGTTTCTTGTGTTGTCTGTGAAATAACCTTGACAAATGCCTGTGTGGTGCATGGGGTTTGCACAGCCCTGTCTTGTCTATTGCTGTATAAAATGAACAAGAGCAAGGGAGGGGCCAAGGCTCAGCACAGGCACAGCTGACACCAGCACCCTCAGGTGCTCTGGGTACAAACACAGACGTCCTTTATGTAACTGTTACATTAGTAATCTTTGCTGCTACTCGCAGGAGGAACAGATAAGACTGTACAGCTTTAGATTACGAAATTTTCAGTGTCAGTTTCTTTCAGTTTTTGCTATCTAGATAATTTTCCACATGGAATTACCTCTTCGCTTAGGTCAGCATTTCAGAGAGCTGCATGGCACCACTCTCAGCGCCGAGCTGCCAGCGCTGGAGGTGGCTGTGGTCACTGTCCCTGGGGCAGCAGGGCTCTGGGATCCTAGGCCAGCAATGGGTTCCCTGCCCGGGTCTCTGCCAGCTCAGCTGCAGTGTCACCGTGCTGGGCTGTGCACAGCTCTTTGGCACGCACCGCTGTCAGGTCACAGGGCCTCAGAACAACAAAGTGATGGGAGAACTCTGCTGGACAGAGTTGCTTGGCTGTGTTGGTCACACAGGAACCGGGACAGGCCATGCCAAGACTCTGCTGTGTCACCTCTTGTGACCGCATGGGTTAAAGCAGCAGTGGTCTGTGCCTCAGTTTACCCTCAGGAACTACCATTTTGAGATACTAAACAAAGGACATTTTGAGATTTTACTGAATGGGATTTGTAGATTGTGCGAACATTCAGTTCCCGGTGCAAAGTGCGAGTGTTTCTACACTGACCCTGTGAAGGTGCACTGGGAGATGCACAGGGGAGCACTCGGAACTCCCGCTACACGGAGGTGATGGACACAAAAGATCTGAACGTTCCTCTCAACTCTGCTGACTCCACATCTGTGGGGCAAGGTCACTCACTAAAACAGAGCTGTCCCGGGAGGGGATTCCTGGGAAGGGACACTCGGAATGCACTACAGCGCCCGGTGCCTGCGTAAGGCCGGGGGCGATGAGGTGTACCGGTGGCCTCCTCTTCCCGGGGCTCGTTGACACCCAGCGTGCCCAGTGCCGGCATGCCCGATGCCAGCGCTGCTGTGCCCGGTGCTTTCCCGGTGTGCCTGACCTTCGTGGCCCGCGCCCGGGACTCCCGGCGTGTCTCCGGTAAGTACCCGACACTCGCGGTTCTCCCGGGGTG